ATTACAGGAATTGAGATAATTATTTATTCTAATTGAATAATTTTTGCTTAAATTAATATAGGTCAAATTGTTTGCTGGAAGTAATAAAACTTTAGAAGTAATTATCCGCAACTAAAACATTCATCGATATTCTTATTTTCATGTTTTACTTCAATCTCAGCGTTTACACTTTCGCATATAATTTTCAAATGATTTAAAAAATAATTATCGAAAATTTAAAAAGCTAACTTGTAACGACTGTATCAGAATGAATAAATAAAACGGGTTTGGATAGGCAAATTGTCGCACCGTATTCTGCATGCATTCCATTTGGACATCTACAAACACCGCGAAAACAAACAGAGCCACCGGTGCATAATAAATTCCCAAAACATGGATGATTTGGAAGTACCAGACGATGCTGCACCGTACAGTGACCATTTATTGCTACCTAAAAGTGTTATTTTTAACCAAAAATAATTCATAAGTAAAATTTTTTTTTGCATTTTAAAAGGCAATGATATGAACTGCCCACGGCATAATAATAAAGATAGGTATGTTGAAATGATGATAATGGTGATTATTTAAATGTTAAAATGATGATAATGATGACCATTTGAAGAAATTCAATATAAAAATACACTCCATAAAAGTGGGACTCAGCAATGATCTATTTTAAAAGAAGAACTTCGAATATTTTTCTTAATATCAATGCAAATTAAAAAAAAAATCAAAGCACAATGTTTAAAATTAATAAAGATTTAAAGTATTTAAGAAGTGCTTAAAAATATGCATAAAAATTTTTTTTAAATAACAGAAAGTATTTTTAAAAAATTAAAAATTTTTGATTATGTCAATAAGTGAAGCAAAAATCTTCATGATTTTGTTCTCACTGAATCAAAAAAAAAACACTCTTGTACAAAGATTTTTAAACAAAATTTATCGAACGAACCTGATTTGAAATACATGTGCAGTAATTATCGATACATATTGAATTACCTGTACATTTCGTGTAACCGATTTCACAAATTTCTCCCGGTGCTCCTAAAATTTAATTATATTTACATCGTCACTCAGCCATGTCCAAATGTCACCATTTGCACCAAACAAGCATGGAGCACATTAAAATTTAGGCATTGGTATAATTTTCAATTTCATCATTGGCTTCTTCTGTGCAACAAAAATTGTTTTTTTCCGGACGAAAATTTTATGCATGTATAATATATCAAAAAAATATCAGAAAGAATTTTTCCACAGAAGAATTTTGAGAGAATATTTGCCATCAAATTTTTTGCATTGTTGATTTAAAATGGTCATTGAAACTATCTGATAGTTTCGCGATTTTTTTTTCATTCTTTTTCAACAAAATAAAGATCAATCGAAGAATTAAAAAAAACATTTTTAAAAATAAAAAATTAACTTTGCAAATGCAATATTTTTAATTTCCTATTATTAATTTTAATTTATCCGAAATATATTGCTTTTTATTTTAGTCAAAATTTTTCAAAAAATTTTTGACTTTAATCTATTGAGAATCGCAAGCTTCACCCATATTCACTAAAACTTGTTAAATATGTTTACCAAAAAATTTCCATCAATGAAATAGTCCAGTAAAAGAACATAATTAATAATCATTATTAATATGAAAAATTTTTTTTACAGTTAAAACACAATTTACCTATCTGTACAAATTTAGAGAAAATATAATCTTTATCGTATTTTAGCTTTCCTTGATGAGCAACTATTTCAGTTGAAGCGCAAATGTGACCGGTGGGACACACACAGGAATCTTTCAAGCAATATGTACCATCACGACATACTGTCGGATCATCTGTGCAGTCATCTATAAAAATCAATCAACAGAAGCTTACTTATAGCAAAATTGAAAATTTTGAAGAAATTCATGATTGCCTTTATATGTTTGTAAGTTAAATAACTTTCTGACACAAATATTCATCATATGATTATTTACTCAGACAACTAGCAAATTTTAATTGATTCAGAGTAAAAAAAAAAAAATAATATAATTTCTCACTTATACAATACTTACCTTATGGTGTTATGAAAAAGAACAATAGAAAGCCTGAAATTTAAAACTATTTTTCAATTTATAACCACGAATATGTTTGATGATGAATAAAATAAAGAGAGTGTATTTATTCATTCGTTCATTACTTCTTAAAATCAATGACTTTTTTTACTTCAGTAAATGCTGAAGCACAAAAAGAGAGAACATTAAAATAATAAATGAAATTGATTCATTTGTAATTGATGAAAAAAGGAATGAGGTAGTCAATTAATTCATCATTTGTTTCATATGTGCTGCATTTTTGTTTATTCATTTTTTTCAATTTTTACAAAATTTTCTTCACTAAATAATTAGTAAAATTGTTTTTATAACATGTTACTATTGCACATAACTGTTTCAAACATTGAAAATAATTTCTTTTGTTTTTTTTTGCACTAATAAGTTTTAATCATACAATTATTCTGGTAAAAAATTTTTACTAAATAATGTATGAAAAAAGCTTATACTACGATAAATTACAATATGTCTTTCTCGTTCAAAATACATTCTCATAATTGTAGCAAAAATATTTAAATATGTGAAACAATAAAAGTAGAAGAATGATGGAAGAATTTTTGTGAGGAAAAGAAAATTTAAAATTTGATATATCTAAAATTTAATAAAATATATACATTTATTTCAATTTTAGCTTCAGAAAGAGAAAGTTATTGTAGAACATGAATGAATGAATGATTCAATGGTTCTTAAAGGTATGATTTAATTTTTTTAGTTTCATCATATCTGATGAAATAAAAAGAGAGCATGGAAAAATTTTTCTTTTTGAGGATAATATTAAATAATATTAACTGCTAGCAATTCATTTGTTTTAAACTTGTTGTAAAAGTAGAAATTAGATTTTAAAATTTATCGATTACATATTGAATTCTACGTGAGAAAATGATACAGCTTTTACATTTTTATGATAAAATTGACAAAAATTTATGCAACGAATTACTTTGCAAACGTTGATCATTAAACTATCAAAGGAATCCCGAAATTTCTCTTCAATGAGAATATCACTGTCAAGTACTGACGTAACTCGATTTAAATTTGAATTTATTAAATAAGTTCTTTTTTCTATGCACATACGTCTCTTTTTTTGTGACTCACTTAGAATAGCAGAAAAATATTTGAGGAATGGAAAAATTGAAATTTGATTTGAAGGGAGCAAACAATAGCTATGCTTAATGGTTAAGTTCTAAACAGAAATGTCTCATTTTTTTTTCTTCTTCTATGGCTAGACTGAGTGCTAATTAAAATGTAAGAATTAATTTAGTTTGCTATATTTCATTCCACTTCTGAAAACTTTTCGTGGAATTCTTCGCAATAGCTTGGTGACAGTCACACGAAAGATTAATTTTATATTGCGCTAAAGTGGTCTTTGCACTTATTCTGTTAATGGTGAATTGCAAAAAATAAAAATTAATTATTGAAAAACTATGCTAAATTAAAATATAAATTAAGCAGACTTGATGCATATTTAAGTGTCAAAAGGTCACGCACAGCACAACACAGCACACCATGCAATATAACAATACTGTAAAATTAATGATATCCGAAATGTGCATTGCTCTTTGAACATGAAAGTATTTAACTTTTAATTTTTTTAATCTTTCAAGAAAAATTAATTTTTAAATAAACTAAAAAGTGTTTTGTTGACGATGAGAAAAACAGCATAGTTCAGAAGTATCTTAATAAAAAGCCGTAAAATACCAAAATTGATCATTTAAATTGAACCATTTCAGTAAGCTATTATTGCCTATTGATGCAAAAGATTCTTACCGCGAAAAGCTTCAATACATTCATTATCAACGATATTATTTCGTTCAGGTGGACAGGTACACATTCCACGGATACAGCTCGAATATCCGGTACATCTTTCTTCATTCATACATGACATTCCCGGACTTGATTCTTAAAAATTTGCAAATTACAACAAAGAAATCGAAATACGAATTTCACTGCTTTCATTTCTTTCATCCTCTGAATTTAATATGTTTTGTTCTTGATATTAATAAATTGCTATTTGAAATCTTAAATTTTAAAATAATTTTGGTAAATTTTACCATTCAAATCGTTATATGATTGAAAGTGGCATAAAACATTGAAAAATGTTACAAAGAAAGCTTAGAAAATAAAAAAAACAAAAAGAATTGGTATTAAGTGGAAAAAAAGCAAAAAACAAACCGATATTGATTGGTACGCAAAATCCTGATCGAGACATGATGGTACCTGAGATACAAGAACAGAAACCATCGATGCAATGAGATCGAGAAGGGCATTGCTGGCTTGTTTCACATCGAACTGCAAGAATGGTACGACATTTCCGGTATAATTTGGATTGTACGATTGACACCAATAATTTCAATTCAACTTAATCTCATGGAATGCTAAAAGTGATAAATTTTTTCTAACATTTTAAAGATTTTCAAGAAAAACGCAAAAAAAAAAAACAATTAGGAAACAATGAAATTGAATGATGGTTTTAGAATTCCATTGTTGTATTGCATGTTTGGAATGAATTTTCATTATAACTTCCATCCTTTGACTATAATATAAAATATAATAAATGTGTGGCATATATGCGCTATCAGTCATTACATCATTGGATATGTGCACTCTGCGCCATATCATCACAATCAGCGCCCATACTATCATATTAATTGATGTTTAATTTGAAGCAAAAAGTAGATGGTAAAAATTAGCACATTGTTCTGCTCTGAGTATTCACTAAAACATTAACTTATAATTGAACTAATTCATCCAATTATTTGTTATCGTAATTGAAAAAGGAATGAAAATGTAGAAACGAACAGGTATTCATCGATTTTACAGGTTTAGATTTTGTTTGTGAATGTACCGTTGACCGTATTTCTTCCAAATTTCGATTTGTTGATGTTGTCATAACTTTTACAGATGAGATAGGAGGGATTGCAGGAGTTGTTACAGGTAACAAATTTGTTTTTTGTGATATGATCGGTAATGTTGGACGTGTTGTATATGCTAATATCGAATAACCGCCATACAATAATTCCTCGAATTGTCGCAGACGACTTACTTAATGTCTTTTAATATATTTCATTTGCAAAATTTGATGCTTTAATTTTTTGGTAAAAAATTTTAAATTTCAATATGAATTGAAAAAGGTAATATTATGTTATATTATTAAATATTAAAAATTTTTATCTATTTAGCGAATACTGTTTGGTCTATATTTAACACGTAAATTTATTAAAACAAAAAAATGATGATCCCTTTCTTTTTTTCCTCAAAATTTCTTCATCAGCAATTAATTAATTAGTGTGATATGTGTAACTTACCATCAACCATAAATTTGCATTCAGTATCGGATATGCGAGTGCCCAAAGGACATTTGCAAATACCGCTACGACAAACGGAAAAAAACAGACAGAGTGTTGTTTCGTTGCATACACCACCCGATATATTTACAATCATTTCAGTTTGACGACTTGATGGAATACGTTCAATGCCAGCATCAATCAGCGGTAAAGGTACGAAGGTTGTAGAACGAAGGCCTGTTTTGTCTAGATTAACATCTAGGCCTGAATCTATCACTTCATTTGTTGCTGCTTCAGTGATACTGTTAGTCATATCAATGATTGTTGTTGTTACTGTTGGTATTATTGTTTGTGAATGATTGCTGGAAAATGTTCTCACTCTCGAGATACATTCATTATCGTCAATATTATGATATCCAGGAAGACAAATGCATATTCCCTTACGACATTCTGTATTATGCATTGTACAGTCGTAATTTGTCATACATCGTTTACCAATGCGATCAACTGAAAAAATCAATTATTAAAAAAATTAAGGACGGTTTTTTCTCTCAATTTTATTTTAAAAAAAATGATAAAAAAGCAAAAAATTACGTTATGCAAATATATATTTATCTAGCAAAAAAAGAAGGCTAAAGCTCCTATCACATTGTTTTAAATTTAGAATTAAACGAATTCAACATGTAGTTTTATAGCTGTGTTTCACATCTTATTTGAAATTCTTTAGAAATTATTATACAAAATGAAAAAAAAACCTCTTTTATGTAAATTCGGAAACATTCTCTGACATCGGCCACCTTTCATGATCATATTAAATGGACAAATACAACGATAACGAGAGCAATAAGCACCACCTGTGCAATCATCGTTACTTTCGCAACGATTCATACGAAGTGTCACTCGAGTTACATTAATTATGGAATGATTTGATCGTTTCCTCAGTATATTTCCATCTCGATTAAAAATTTTCTCCGATGGAAGCGTAAAAATTGATTGTGCTAAATTAAAACAAATTGGATGAGTAAAATAAGAAAAGTTACATGCTTAATTTTAATTGGAAAAGTTTTACAATAATGATTTACCATTAACAAATTCACATCTTTCATTTTGCAAGATAGTATCCGCAGGACATCGACACATTCCATCCACGACATTGCAGAACGATCCACCAGTACAAAATTCACCTTTTCTACACGGGGAATTAGGCTTAGCTAAAAAAAGCAAAAAATAAAAGTACATTAAGTTTCAAGTAAAATTTCAATTAACTTATTGATGTTTAAATTTCTATTCGAGATCAATTGTGAAAAGATTGTGAAGAAATGGCGATAAAATGATGATGCGCAGACGAAAAACTATTGAAAATTAATGAAAATTTACCTTGATAGTTAATATAATTCTCGATTTCAACACAGTTACCATCTCGGGATGCTTCACCATCAGGACATGAACATGAACCATTAATGCAAACATAATTTGATATACAAGTTTCACCATTAAGGCATGATTCACCAGGTTCGGCAAATACCATTTGACATCGATCATCCATGAAAATCTCACCTGCTGGACAATGACATCTGTAAATTTTTTAAATTTATATAATATTTTGTTAAATTCAAACAATCTCGAGATATATTCGTGCTTTCATAAATAACATATAGGCCACGCAGCTTATCCATCTGTCAGCTTTTGATCTCTCTCTCTCTCAAATAATATCATCTTTCATCCCAAAATGTAAAAGTATACAAATTGAATTGCAAAAATAAATGATCCAAATATTTATTAGCAAAATTTTGATAAAGGCTACTCTTCGAAATTTTGTCCCTTTTTTGTTAATTTTTTTAAATTTAAAGATGCAAAAATTTTTGCCTGCTTGCAATACATTTCGTACCAGCTGTGCAATCAGCATTAGTGATGCATATTTTAATCGGTGATATTAATGTACGAGTAAGCATTGGTATGCAAATTTGATCATGATATTGATATCCATCTTAAATATAGCCATTTTTTGGGAACAATTAATTAATTAATTCGTCAAATATGGAAGTATATAAAACTTTTAGATAAGATGTTGCATAGATATGAATATAAATGAACAACTGTAAAAATTAATTTAATTAGCTTTTATTTTAAAAATTTTCTAAAAAATACAAACCTTGACAGATGCAAAGACCGCTTTGATGATCACAGTATGAGTTTCCAGCACATTCCGAAGAATTTGTACATTCGCCGAGTGAGTCTGCAACAAATTTTGCTCTCCAAAATATACCAGCGGTTGATCAAATTAATCAATCAAAACAAAATGACATTCTGATCAATTGAACGAACAAATAGAAATTGCTAAAATTTGAATATATATGTTTTAAGCTAACCGATTGTTGTCATACACTGTCCATTATTCGGAAACATTCCTTGTGGACATCGACAAATTCCATCAATACACAGTAATTCATCAGGACATGTCTCTCCATTTATGCATATCTCTCCGTTGTTTACTGAAAATTGAAAAAAAAAAGGTGTGAACATTATATTCGATCATATCGTCCAGAAAAAATACATAATGATATGTGTTTTTTTTTAGGCTTTTGCCAGTTAAATTTTAAATTGAAAAATTTTTTTAATAAGGTAGTTTTCAAATATCAAATTCACAAAAGATAATTTTATCAAAAACAAAAAAATTTTCTGATGATTGAATAAAATCAGCAATTGTTTATAACATATTCTTATCATTTACAACTTGAAAAACTTACTAAAATAGCAATATGGAAGAATAAAAGAACAAACAAACTTTTTCCTTTAGCTATACATATGCCATTTTGGTTCGTTGTACCAATTGGGCATAAACAAATCTATAAGTAAAATCCATCATCCATAAGCAAAAAAATTAAAAATTAAACAAAAATTTTAAAAAATTAAAAATCACTTTCAGAATCTAATCAGTCATTTATCATTTACATTCTTCCCTCCTGGAATGCAAAAGACGATATCACTGATATGTGCTGAAAAATAAATATCTTAACATCAAACCGTTCTATTACAGACTGATCCGCCGATGCAAAATTCTCCATTAGCGCAACTGTCTCCAACACCGCCAATCAACGTCAAATCACGACATTCTCCATCCTATTAACATTAACATTTTTTGTTTCAAAATTCAAACCTCAGATATTGCAAAAATTAAGAGGCGATAGGAAGTAATAAATATTAATATTTAACCTTTAAAACAGTGCCAATTTTACATTGACAAATGCCATTAATGCAATTTGCAGCTTCGTGACAAATTTGAGTTGAATTACACGGCGAACCAACGGATACTTTTTGTTCCAAAATACATCCAGCAGAATTTGATTTTGTTCCAAATGGACATTCGCATCTGTCGAAAAAACAATTTGAACCGTCCAAACATCGTTCATTTCCATTTGGACAAGCACTTTCCATTGATTCTTCAATTGCAAATTTATAAATTTAACTTTAATAATGTACTGCAAACAGAATTAATTAACAGACATATTTTCCACTTCTACATTTCTCCATAATTTTATTCTTTTCAAATGATCTTAATTCATTTCAATTCTTTAATATTCATTTACTTGAACGAGCCTTAATAAAGCACCTATTCATTTATTTCAAACAATAAGTAAATAACAGTACCTGAAGGGATTGGTTTACAAATTCCATTTACAGATTGCTGAAACTTGGGACACTGACAAATATTTGCAATGCAACTTGAACCACCGCTACACTGTATGGTTGAGTTACACGCTGAACTTGGTGGTACAGTTCCGCGCGGAACACATTCCTCATTCAGTATGATATTTCCTACTGGGCATACACAGGTACCAGCCAGACAGAACGATCCACCCAAACAAATTTCACCATTTGCGCATGATTTCATTGCTCCAACTTCTAAAAAATCCTCTCATACTTTTATAGATTTTTTGACGAAAATATAATTAATTCATCAATTATTCATTCACTCTATTCCTTATTTTGAAATTTCAAAATTTATTTCATAAAATGCTACTCTCAAATTATCACATAGTTCATTCTATTCTTTTTGATTTGGAATTCAATTAATATGACATTATAGTACCAACAAAATTCCAACCAATAAATCAATCATTTTTTCGCTCTCTCATTCAATGGCTACTTCATTTTTTGTTTTCTACAGTTTTTGAGAAATTAGAATTATTAATAGTTATTATAGACTTAATTAATTACCATTCTTAAAATGTACACTTCAGTTCTCTCTCTCTCTCTCTCTTTTTCTCTCCCTCTTTTTCACTCAATGAATCATAAGAGTTTTATTAAAAAATACGTACTTTGACGGCATAATCCGTCCCTAATCATCATTGATGATGGACAAACACAAGTATTATTGACACATCTGAATCCTCCCATACAATTCGAATTTACAAGACATCGTTGTCCCATTGGCACTTGATCATAACATTTATCATTATATTCTAATTGTTTTGAATTACATCCTAAAATTAATCATCAAACTCTAATCTCTCATTAATCTAATTAACTGCCAATTTAATTGAACAATTTTGTAGGCTTTTTACATCATATCGGAATAAATTTAGAATTAAAATTGAAAGATTAAAGTGTCATAAAACTTTCAAATATATCTAACTTCTTCTTCAAATAACCTTGTTTGCATATTCCATTTTTACCAACAACATAATCTGAGGGACAACTTTCAGCACACATGTCACCTGTGAATACTTTACCGGACGAGCAACGACAAATACCTCGAATACAAATCATTTCAGTGTTATTCATTTGACATTGTGATGAATACTGACATTTTCCACCTGGTTTAACAGCTGGAAAAAAAGTTGAATTTACCTACTGATACTTCCAAACAGATCAAGTGTATAAATTTAAAAAGATATATAAATTTGAATTGGAAATTTTTGAAAGATGTATTTATCATACAAATGCTAGCTTCTTTTATGAATACTTTTTGTATCGGACATAACGATGAGAAGGCTAATCCATGCACTGGAATGATCGCAAAATTGTAGTCCTTAAAAACTTGAATACAAAATAATCAAAACGCTTAACTGAACATGAATTTATATGAAATATTTTTGTTGCAACTATTCTGGTATTTACAATATTAAATATTCCTCATAATAAGTAACAGGAATATAGTTAGCATTATATGTTTAATTTACGATATTTATTCATCGTCGCAATAAATGCACACTTTTCACAGTACTTACTTAATGATTATGGCGATAATAACAATAATTATTTATCACTAAATTATCATCAAATTATTTTTATTGCACATTTGTCATTTCATCACTCTTAAGAGAAAATTTTGCTAATAATTGTCAATTTTATGAATTAGCAATATGATTGATTGAATCGATTTAGCGAAATATTAGGAAGAAAAAAGTGAATAAAGGAGAAATGATTGTGAGATGATATATTTGATAATTGCTCGTTAGTTATTTTTATTAAATCCAAAATTTATTTGCAAAAATTTAAATATCAAATGGAATAATTTGATAAAAAACCACATCGCAGGCTTTTTTTAATAAAATGATTATATTAACACTTCAGTATATTATCTTTAATTAATTAATAACCTGTTGAGATGCCGAATGGGTTATTTTTTGCTTTTTCAATAAAATTACTTTGATCTCGAACGTTTAAACGAAGCGGTTGTGATCGTTTTCGTTGTGGTACATATCGTTTACCTGTAGAACTGTTACTGCATTGTTGCAATTTCAAACAACAAACTGTATTTCGAAGTAGTGAGAAGCAAAAATCACAATCACGTATTATTTACCATCACAAAATAGGAATTTCAAATTTTATAAAAAAAATTATAGTTGCAAAAAGGTATCATTTTAGTTTTAGTTATTGTGGATTCTTTAAAAAATTTATGTAGAAATTAAAAAGAAAAAAAAACAATTGGGCCAAAATTTCAAATCGATATTCTTAAATGAAAGGAAGAAAAATCATAGTAAAACTAACTTTTGAAACAGCTGAATGCTTTAGCTTTAAAACCTTTTGGACATTCACATTTATTCTGACCTGTGCAAATAGCACCTGGATAACTTTTAGCGCATTGTCTTGAATCTTCGCAACCACTTTGTCCCGGATAAATTACTAAAGTTGCGCAAACTAATCATCTATCTTCCTCTTTAATTTCAAATTGAATTTCTCTTTTTTTTTTCATCTACCCTCTTATTCATTTCATTTTTTATTCATCACTGTCGCATAAGTTTCATGCGGAGAAAATTAAATTAGCTTGATGAATTTCAGATGAATTTTTTCAGATGAATAAATCCTTTTTATTGATCACTGTCGTAAAACTTTATAAATTCGATTTTTTATGGACAACAGTGCAAAATAGTGAAATAGTTTTATGTTTATCTACCTGGTTTACACTTTCCATTTAAGACAAAATGTGTTGATAAGCAGCAGCACTTCCCGCTTCTTCTGTTACAGTACTCTCCTTTTCCCGTACATTCTGCTGATATTTTACATTTTGAACCTAACGTTTTACCTTAAAATAAAAAAACTTTTTTTAATTTAGAAATCTAATCAAAATCAAAACATAAACTTTCCTAATATTAATGATATTATAACAGCTAGAAAATTGATCATCGTTAGTGTCTATTAGAGAGATGAATGATGAAAAAGAAAAGGAGATTTACAAAATTTGTTAAAACTGCTCTGAAATCAACTAAGTATTTAGTGATCATTAAGAAATTTCTACAGTTTATATCCCTTCATAATAATTTGTTATTGTTTCTGATGAAAATAATTTAAAACTTAAAATTTAACATAAATGGTTGCAATATTACTTGACTTTAAAATACATTGACCGTTGACCTCGTCGTACAACGGTTCACATGTGCAAATATTATTGATGCAAAAAGTATTTGGAGTGATACACGGCAAGTTATGTGAATTTGAATAACAAAACTTCCCAATTTCATTGACACGAGCTATTTCGCTCGATGAGGAACCTAAATTTTAATAATTTAAAATTTCTATGAACTTTTAAGCAGGTAAAATTGTTTGAAAAAAAGCTGAAATTCACAAAAGACATTAATAATATTCTGAATAGACAATAAAGGCAAAATAGAAAGCGTCAAATATATTATTTAAAAGTAATGCAAAATGATTTCAGAAATCTTTTACTATCATCATTCTGTAAGGTACACTTTTCATCTTTCAGTAACCTTTCAATAATTCTTTTTTCTCCTCCTATTCTTCTTTAACTTCTTTATTTTTGTTTAAATTACAGCTAATAAATTGAATGAAAATATTTCTGATTTTATTTGAAGTTATTGTTAAGAGTTCGTTAGTTACATTAATTATCTTTTATTTTGCATTATTTATTAGGAAGAGAAAGAATATTTCAATAAAAATATTGAGAATTTTTAATAAAAATAGTCAGAAATGATGTCAGATTAAAAATGACAAATATTTCTCGCATAAAATGATTAATTATAACAATATTTGAGTAAGAAAACATATCAAAATTTTATTTATCCGTCCAAATGAAATAGAAAAATGAAGTTGAATTTAACAAATTAAAAAAAATGATTGAAACAATTCAAATAATAGAAATATAGTAAATAGATTTGTCATTGCTAAAATACACACATTCTTTTAAGTTATTCATTATAAAATTTTTCAATTTAAAGCACAAATTTTCGTCGGAGAGTTAGCAGAAAATTTTTCCTCCCGATCATTAATCATTCATACGATTCAAATTCAACTAATAACTTAACGTCAAAAGTTGTATTCTTCTTCTAAAAGTTGATTTAAAAAAAAAGTGTAATTCAAATAAGAAAATTAAATTACTTACCAGCAAATAAAAATGATAACAAAAATACAATATCCATTGAATTTGTAGTTTCTATTTAAAATATTCAGCTCTTAAGAAGTGCTGCGACACTTCCGCCAAATTCGTTTTAATATCTTGATATTTAGAAAAAAGAAATACTGTTGCTAATGGAATTTTTGGTGTGCAGGATATGCTGAAAAGAATGGAATAAATTGAAAATAACGGTTATGCGAATGAAAGCTATTAATAAGATTCAAATTTTGCTACTTCATTGGTCAACAAATTTTAGTTTATCCTACCTATAACATTTGGAACAAATTAGTTTAGTATACCGATACAGGTATGGTTTGAAGATGTTATAAAAGCTTTCAATGTTTGGTTTTACCCATGTTAGTATCCGAACCGATACGGCTAACTTATCCAAAGCTAAGTGATATTTAGAGACAGCCTCTGTATTTACACAACTGAACCAACAACAAAACTCTTTCTGTCCATTAGTACTTCCTATTTTCAATTGTAGTAGTAATGCAAACAACATTTGCATATTTGCACTAAACAATATTTAATAACGGTAAGAATGAAATTGTTAGATGATTGAAATCAAAAATATAAAAATTTATTCTTTTTATTTCTTAAATTTTACAGTAAGTAAATTTTTGATGTGAACGATGGTGAAATGATAAATTAGATATCAAGAATGTTACAATAAATTTGTTAATTTCAGTAATTTTTAATTCTTTTTTCATATTTATTCGATCTTGGATATCTCTCAGAATTCAATATCAGAAGGATACTGTAATTAAAAAAATTCATTGATAATGTGAATTAATTTGCTAATAGGAAGTAAAACATTTCTTTTCTTAATGTAAATATTATTTCCAGCATAGCAGTTTAGATTTCTTTTTGAAGTGTAAAGAACAAAACAATAGCTTTGTTATTATTTTACTTGATTTTCAAGTAAAATTTAAATAAAAACTGTCGATTTGTTAATATTTTACTTGATTTTCACGTAAAATTTAAATAAAAAAATTATGTTTAGTAATTACCACTAATTTTTTCCCTTTTCTTTTCTTGAAAAAAAAATTATAATATTAACGAAGTATTAAAAGTCAAGAAATGCAATGTAATTTGCAAACAAATAAAGCAAATATTAATTGCATATTTACTGAAATCTTTATTAAGCACGTGAAAAAAGTGTGATGTATAAATGATAGAAATTTATTGGTTATGAATGTTTTTGTTGATTGATTCGATGAATGTTCCGTTCAATAGCACCGCTTGCTGAAATAAAGCAATAGCAATTTGATGAAATACATCACATCAATAATAGTATAAATATAGAAGAGAGAAAAAATAATTTTTACTCCAACTCTGAGAGGAAAAGCTAATTTGTATTCGATAATTTTTTCTCCGTTATCTCTCGATATTCATATGCATATATATAACCATATCATAGTTAACGATTGATAAGACTGGTTGTTGAAGTCTAATCGTTGGCTATGACATATCATGCTTGTCAATGTATTATCAGCTATCCAATAATATATACCTGTTGGATTCGTTATCTTTATGGACTTTAAAAAGCTTTATTGTTAGCTAATAAATCCTTATCAATCCAAAAATTCTTCCGCTGTTGACAGTTCTAATTTCTATTTTAATAAAGTTTGAATTTTTTCATTTCTCAACTAAGTTCAATTTTTTTGCTTGCGGTACTAAGATTTTTAATTTAAATTTTAATCCGACTTGACTAATTTTAGATGAAACACTGCACCATTTAGGATTTGCTGATAAAGAAAGAAACTCATTAACAATAAAACATAGCCATTAGTTTGCAGTAGATGTTATGAGGCTTTTTCTTAGGAGTAATGGTTTTTCAAATTTGCTCAAATGTGGTTTTGAGAAATTGGTTGCCATATTTCGATTATTCAGAAAAAAAGCCAACTTGAACTTAGTTGAGAAATATTGATTTAGCATTTATTGTTGTTAGAATTATTCATTTAAAAATTCATCAAAATTCAATTATTGCACTATTTCACTTGCTCATGACTTGTCACATAAACTTTTCGAATATTTTTTAAAAACATTTGATGCAACGAAATATGAATATTTAATTAATTAATCTCTAAATCAATCTCGATTTTTACAAATTTCATATTTGTTATTGTATTTTTTCCCCTCCTGAATCGAGATGGTTTTTCATTTTGGCTTTCGGGAAAAGATTAATGAACATTTTATTTTCAAGCTATTACCAAACTTAGCAAACAGTCTAAACTGTGTCATTTAATCATGAAGGTCAAATTTCATTGTTATTGAATTTAATAAAATTATGGATGATGACAATGGCGTTGGTGTTCTTCTTGTCTTCTCTCTTTTTTTTGGCAAACGCTGTTTAGCACATCATTTTTAAATTTTTACAGTCTTTTTGTATTCGTGATTAATTATAAGATTGAATAGCGCTATGGATAAGGTTGAATGTGAAAATTTTGAAAGTTAAACTGATTACATTAGCAATATAAACTTTTTTTTAAAAATCATACTTTTTTGAAATTACTCATTAAATTTAAAAGATAACAAATGAGTAATGAATCATATTGTTGTGATATCATAAAATTAGTTCATTGATAGTGTAATTTGTAATGATTCTTTTTTTTAAAGTAAGAATGAATACTTTTCCTTGGATTAGTTGGAGCGGCTTTGTCGTGTGTAAAGGTGTTCGAGCTGTGTATGTATGTGTATGTGTATGTGTGTATGTGTGTGTATATGTGTGTGTATGCGTGTGTGCATGTGTGTAAGGTTGCTAAATGTTAAAATGTTAAGTGTAACTATTACACGTTTTTAAGAATATCGCTCACTTTCATCTTTTCAGGATGGAAAAGCATTTAAATAATAAGTCAATGAATTATCAGATGTAATATGAATGGCAAATATGAAAGATGATTGATAATGATTTATGACTGTAACATTAATTTACATATTTTCCATTTTTCAGAAAAAAAATAGCTTCTATAAGCAATCTGTGTAATATATACAAATGCATTCTCACTCTTCCTCTCTCCCCCTCCCTCTCTCTCTTTTCCTGTCTGCTTTTGTTAATTGATTTTGTTATTGATTTATGTTGATGGTATTAAAAGTTATGGTCATCGTGGATTAGTAATAATAGTTAGAGGTCAACAAAGTGCCAATTTTACTGCTTCAATATTAATTCTCTCTCTTTTCTTTTTCAATTTAAAAATCTTTCATTATTTTTTTGTTTACTGTCACATCTGTCTGTCAGAGAGTATCGATTTCGTTTCTGTTATAATTAACTAAATTTTTTTTTCATTATTGTTTATTGTTTGTGTTTCAGCTCTCTAACATTTCTATTCAAAGTTAATCTTTGACATTGATGAAGAAAAAAACAATGATAAATTATGAGTAAAAGCATAAAATATATCATATGCAATCTCATTTTAGCTACAAATATATAATTCTATTTTAAGTAATTACATTTTATTCCAAAAAAAAAAATTTTTTTTGTTTAATTTAGAAATTATACATTATAAATAAAAAGAGAAAAATACATCCTTTATTGTAGCGATTAATTTTGGTCGTTTAGATGGATTATATTACAATCCCAATGATGTAAATAGCTTTTTAGCTTTAAAGTGATACAAAGTGATGTGCTTTCAGTAAAAGCAATACTAGACGATTAGTCAAATGATTTGAAGGATGACTGAGAGAGAGAGAGAGAGAGAGAGAGAGAGAGGAAGGGAGAGAGAAGAAAGAATTTTCTAATATATTCAATCATCAATATGTTGGAAAATTCATTTCTTCCTCATACTATTCACCTTTGACAGCTATCTGATATTCTCTCTTCTCTCTCCCTCCCCTTTCCCTCCCTCTCTCTTTCTCTCTCTTTCCTCAATGTCTATATGAACTGAATTACTATTATAGATGTGTATACATATATACGTATATATGTATCTCTTATCTTCCTTTTGTTTTTGCGCCTCATCGGCTAAGTAAGCGTAGGATAAAGCTTCGATGCTCTCGATAGATTGCCCTCGGTGAAAATGCGAACATTTGATGAGATGATAGTACAACAAGTCAATATTATTATCACTTCCCAGTATTTATTTTTATTTTAACTATTTCTTTCCTTTTTTTGTTTGTCTTGACAAATGATTAAATTTTGCTTTAATTTTTTCTCTTGTTTTTTTACGATGCTTGTTCACAGAATAAGCATCGATATAAATAGCTTTTCATATATAGTTATACATATTTAAATGAAATTTATTATTAATAAAATTAACAAATTATTTGATGGATTTATTTTTGGTAGAATGAAATTGGACTTTAGCATTGTAATAATATGAGTTTGAAAAATTATTGATTTTGTTCCGTTATTCATGCTAACTGATAAGAGGCCCTTTTTTTTAAACTTCTGATGATTAATGGAGAAGAGTAAAAAGGTTTTGATATTTGAAATATTTTTTATTTGAAATTGAATTGACACGAAATGTAATGCTTATTCTTCTAAATTGAATTATTGTTGTTGTTTTTTGAAAATATTTTTGAAAGTAAGAAAAACTTTTTCTTAAAAATATGATTGGATTAATTTATTATTTCTGTATTTTACTACTAAAATTGAATCATTCGATAGAAAAAGAAATTGAATTTCTTTTTGGCATATTTTAAGAAACTCTTCTTACTTTATATATCTTGGAATTTACTGTTGAAAAGATTGAAATTTTAATGTTATATATTTTTTTCATGGTCAACCATGAATTATTTAAGCAACAAAAAGAGCCAATGAAGACTTTAAGTAATATGCGTAATGATTAATTTTTATTTAAATTCAGCAAACATTGATGTTACGATAATAATTTCCATAAAGCATTCATTTCTGGTTCAACATGTTGTTTTTCAACATTTTTAATCTTTTTTTACATAAATTTTTATTGGTGATAACAAAAGAGCAGCAAAATAGTATAGACTTATTTTCTGATGCCCGCTTTTTGTACTATAAAATAATAGATAAGTATCGACAACATTTTGAGAACTACTTTGAAAAAGTTTTTTTGTTAGTTGAGCTCTTCAAATTGATATTTCAAAAAAAAAATACGTATATACTTATAATATAATGTTTGAAGAAACGTACTATTCTATTTTTTTCATTTATTTCATTCTTTGCAAGTAATTTAATTTGCTTATTTGGCTATTGTCGTAAATTTATAACACATTATCTGCATATTTATTCTATGTCACACTTACTGAATTTCATTTCTTATTAATGAAATTCGTTACAATCAGTTGATAAAATTATTGCTGCAAGTTGTGATTTTATTTTTCAATTATAGTACGAAATAGTAATTATACTTCATACTATAATATGAATATGAAAAATGAGACATTTAGCTATAATTACTATTTCATACCTTTAGCTAAATGTATAATTGTTGTTATTGTTTATTTATTTTTTGATTATAATTAATAATGTTAGAACAGTTGATTAAATTGCATGAAATCATTAACAATTTCCTTCTACTTTTTATTTCTTCCTTTTTCTTATCATTAGCACTATCAAATGAGTCATTTCGAGCTATTATTGTAAAAGATCAGAAATGAATGAACTTTGGCAGAGTGATTAAGTGTATTTGAGATTCATTAATAAAAATTATATCCCTGTGTATGGACAGATACATTAATATAACTGATCTCATTGAGAGTAAATCATTTTAAAATCCCAATTGTTTATTCATCAATTTTTAGATTTGAAGTGAAAATTGAAATGAAAAAAGTAATAAAAATTATGATGATGATTATTATTATTATTGTAGAAATAGAAACTGAGACATTTTTCCTAAAAATTTTAATTGGTTTAATTTTTAATTGCTGGAATTTCATAACGTAGTAAAAAGTGAAAGAAGAAAATTGCTATAAAATATTAATCTATCCTGTGCATTTTTTTTTTCATAAAATAATTCTATGCAGAAATTATTCGATTATTATATATTTTTAAAATCTAGAAACAATTTAAATCGAAACACTCAATTTCGAACTCCTTGATTTTTACATTTTCGAAATTTTCAAAACGTCGGAAGCGCGATATTATTGAGATTATTTTAGAGTGGGAGTGAAGAGGCTTCTGAGGCCGTTTGTTTAATCCCCCTGAGTATCTTGCCGTTGTTAATTGCACTTTTCCAGCTTCTATTATTTCGAATTTCTTATCAAATTTTAATTTTTGCAATTACAATAAGTTAACTCAATAAGTTACAACAAGTAATTTCATACGTTCATTTTAAATGATAATCACATAAAGATAATCCCGTGAGATAATTTTTAGGTTGGCAAAAATTTCAAAACATAAAAGTGAGCAATTCATTCACGATTAAAAAAAGAGATTATTTTGAAAAATATTTCTTGCATCACTCAATAGATCATATTTCAAATGTAAAAGCACTGTTCTTAAATTTCAACTTAAATAATCGGCAAACTGTATCTAAAAATGACCAACAATATGAATTTTGTTGGTTTTCGTTTCAATATAATATAGTAATATAGTATTATAGTAATATATTTCAATGTAGTATTTATAGTAATTACCCTCAAAAGAATCAGTTAGTGATATTTGAGTAATGCATTATTTTAATTTGGCTTTCTTACATAAACGATTAATGAAATTCTGAATTCAAAATAAAAATAGAAAAATTTTCTGAATGTTGTATGGTAGACAAAAACATTCAACATATTATATATGCACCGTTTTTTCTTATGTTAGATTTTAACGATTGGCAAAAAAGTAACTGATATATTTTTTTCATTCGATAATTTCAAACAACCCTTTTTTTGTAATTCAAAAAAGTTGATTTAAATCTCTCATCAATTGACAGTTAAGTTTATCAGTTGATTGATATGAATAGTTTAGTTGTTTTTTTTTTAAATTGAAACGATCAAAATATTAGGAAAAACATTGTATTGGCTTGGTATCCCAAAAAATTTTACCGCTCCTCTTTAGGGAATATTTCGTCCATTTCAAACAAATTCTTCTTCCTCCTCTGTTTTCTTTCTTTTTTTATTTTTTCGTTTTCCACAATTTCAAATTTTACTTTTTCATATTTATAATTTCTTTAAAAAATTGATTTATCATTCAACACTGTAATTGTATGATTATAGCAATATACCACTTAGTCAAATGAAAATCAATCTCTATGTTCATATGTAGCATGAGATTTTATTAATTGTGAAATTTAAATCAATCGATAATTATAACAATTTTTAAAGAAATCAAAAATCTATTTAAAACATTCATTTGTTACGAGTATTAATTATATCGCAAATATTCTATGCAGTAAAAAATTATCCATTTATTATCGGAGTCATCATTGTTAACTTTTGATCTGACAGAAAGAGGAAAAGATATTGTTGACTTTTTTAATTCATCTATTTGATTTATCTACTTGAAATTCATCTACTTGAAATTCTACTAATAGCTATCTTTTGAGTTTAAAAGTGCAAGATAGATTTAATATAATTTCATGAAAATTATACTAACTTGATGGTGTGAAATTATTCTTCATCGCTTAAGATAAAGAATGTTATGTTTAACAATGCTATTGAATTACAAAGCATATGTAATATTTAATAAATTAAGCCTCACCTGTTTTCATCGGGCAACTGGCAAATGCAGTCATGCTTACATTACTTTACTTTAGCGTTATATAGTTTCATTATATAGATAGATAAATAAATGGATAGATAAATGCGCATATGAACAGATGGATAAGTGGAAAGAGAAATGCATACATAGACAGATAGATAAATTATTAGACAAGTACAGTTAAATGGATAGAGGAATACGCATATAGATATTAGATTGATGACAAATGAATGGATAACTTGTTTTACAAGATCTTTATTTTCATTTTTCTTTCTAGCATAAAATTGGAAGTAATAAATTTATTAATTCATCGATTTTTGATGAAAGGAAATTTGTTATATTCCATTTGGCGAAATTAAAATTGAAATAATGTCTTTTTGTGGCATCGAATCCATTCTTCTATTATTGTTTAATTTACAAAATTGCTCAGTTTTGATTGGAACTATAAATGCATGACAATGATGACTGGTTTAATGGTATTTCGGATCATTAAGTTTCAAAATGAGAGAATTCATTTCATTGTAAACGGAACTGTTCATCATATTCTATCACTTATTACTACTATTGATTGATTATTAATTAATTTTTGTTAGCATAAAATATCTTTGGTATATTCTTTTTTTTAAAAAAAAGATATCTAAAAAAAACAAATTTATGGCCAGCTTGCATCATTCAGCGGTTGTTTTTTCGATGATTCCATTCGTACTATCATATATTTCAAGATGGAATTGATTTCGGGAATTTTAGACGTTTTCTTTTTGCTCACACATTGATTAATTTTTGTCGGAAAGATAATTAGCAGGTCACACATAGAAAAATGTGCTACATATATGCATTGACTTTTGACCTTCTCAATCTTGCTTCACGAAAAGTAATAGTTATCAAGTAGTAATGTATTCATTCAAGCATTCCCCGCATTCTATGCTTTTTTTTGCTTTTTTTATTTGTGAGATGAATCGGTTATCTAACAGCGCAATCTGGGATGGAATTGCAAATTTTTGCAATTCCATATAATATTAAATGATTTCATCGTAAAAAGCGACCAACTATTACTTTCACTTTTATTCCTTTTAAAAATATGTGTGGAATTTGAATCTGTTTCCCAAAGTAATAATTTCATGCTAAATTCTCGAAGTTGCTTGAATTTGACACAGCATGTAATTATTACTAGAATTCAACATTTCTATTAATCCCTTTCACATTCTAACATTCTTCTAAAATGATATTTACATTATCTTTAACTCCTAATATAAACTATTTAGAAGAGTAATAATTTAAAGAAATAATAATAATTCTGAAATAATTTGCTAATATAGTTTCAATAATTGATCGATGTATAATTTAATAATTTGTCGTAAAATTTATATGAAGGTAACAATTAAATGATGAAATTTTCAGATAGCATTGCATTCGTGTGAATTATTTTACCTGTTGGAAGTACGTCTTCATATTTTTTTTGTGCACTTGAAATAGTGTGTGATATCATGGGAGGTAGCAATAGTACTCCAAAATCCGATTCATTAATGGATCATCAACCATATCCGGATATGAATGTCATATTTAAAAGCATTCCAAAAATGGTGCAGGTTAGTGCTATTTCTGATAGAATTATTTTACACTGATATTTCATTTCGAATATAATTGTCTACGTTTGTTAAAACACAATCAAGAAACATATTATTTTAATTTATGCATTTTAATTTAGTATTTTAATTGATGAGACAATTTTGTAGGTTGCCGATGATATGCATCGAATGACAAATTACATTATGGATTTGCGTAATATGACCATTGGTTTGGTTTGCTTATCAGTTGTTGGCGTATTTTTATTTCTAATTATGAAACTCAGTCAGGGTCGAAGTGGTGCTGCACGTCGAAAACGTGATTTAGGACATCGAATTGAGGTTTGACATATTTAAATTTTAAAATATTCTTTCGAAAAATAAATAATTTTTTTTTTGAATGCGGTGATTTAAAGACTGATGGTAATTGAGTGAAAATAAATGATTAATATTTTAAAAATAAATATTGCTGAATTGATTTTTTTTTAATGAGATTTTCTCCATAAAATTTTCTTGAAAGGCAAAAAACGTTAAAGAAAATGCATTATATTTCAAGAGAGAAGAAAATTTTTATGCCAAACTTATTAAATTAGTATTATCAAATTAGCTATCCCGGTGCATTTTTACCTTTTCATCGATATACACTTAAATAGAAAAATGAAAATTTTAGATAAATAGGGTTTCTTTTTATTCAGGCAATTTTTGCGAATAACTTGAGTAACGATGATTTATGTTAAGTTATTATTGATTAAAATAAATGGATGGAAATTGAATATTCGTGTCTTTTAGGCATTAGAGGATCGATCATTACCACGACATACCCATTATGGTGCCTATCATGGTTACCTGGATTCATGGCACGATTCGAGAAGTCATAAAGTTGGTAATGTTGGTGCTACGGTTATAGACATCGAAAAAATTCCGATGAATCAGTCGCAGGACATTTCGAGTCACAACGAAACCACTGCAATACCACTCGAAACACCAAATTTGCTCAATGGCCATGCGCATAAAGTTTGACATCTCTTTTTTTTTTCTTCCTTTTTATCTTTTCTCTCATTTCCATATGATTTTTTTTAAAGGTGATGAAAAAAAAATGTATTGCAATTATTGGATGTGTCTTTTGAGAGAGATTAATTTCAAATTAAAAGATGAAATGATTAGATGTTGCCATTGAATTCGTTCATTTTTTGCATATGAAAATTGAATATCGAAAAGATGTTTAAAAAGTTCTAGTAAATAACTGTAGGATAAGTAATTGTAGACAGTAGATAGAGCGCTGAAACTATTCATCTCAGGTTTATATAATCATTTTCGGGATTAACTGCCGGGATCTAGAAATGGTAGATTTAGATTTGATATCAAAAATATACAATAAATATTGCCAAAAAATGTTTGATTATCGTCGTTTGGTACATTTTCATAAGCGACTAAATTTTTTTTATATTTTATTAAAAAATCTGTATGTATTAAAATTTTTTACAGTTGCATTCCTTTCTGTTTCACTTTTATCATGCAACATTTATTCATTGCAAGACAAGAAGATAAACTTTTAGTGAATTTTTGCAATTCTTCTTTTGGTCATTTTTTTTTTTGTAAGCTATCAGTTGTCTTCTTTTTCTGATCCTGAAAAGTGCTTTTTGCTTCGAGCGCTATTTCATCATCTGTAATTTTTGATTTAAAAAGCAACTGATGTTCGTGCCAGTCGTTGGTGCTACTTTGTGTTGGATCACCGCTTTGTTTCTTTTCGCTCTTTTTTTACAAATTACTCAGTTATTTTCTTGTTTTGAAAATTTTCTGAGTTTCTCTGCTGACTGTTTTCGTTAAAATTTATTTAATTAATTAATTTTAGAAGTTGTTAAGTTATCAATAGAAGGTAAAAGGGATCAATTTCATGTCAAATGAAAACAATACTTCCCACACAAATATGAAAATTTAATTTTGTTTTTATAGGAAAAATAAATTTATTTGTTATTTATATTCTTCTAAAATAAGTAAGAAATTCTATTGGTACATGCAGTCTTTCTTCGATGCATACTTCTTGCATTTATTATCTGTATAAATTTGACTTTTGATTTCAGCTATAAAGCTTATTTTACTTTCAGAGGTCGGATCCGGTGAAGCTGGTGGTGGAGGATTTGCCATACGCTGATAGTTGAGATTGCTAAAAGATTTATGATAAGAATAATTTTATCATTGAAGCATTTAGCTCATTTTTACCTTCATTTTTTTAAGCAGTAATCATTCACCTATTTGAATTTAAAAGAAAAATCACTTTCATATTTTTTTCCAAAAATTTAACTTTTTTCAGCTTTTTAAAGTAGTGCATGTATTCAAATTATGCTGAATGAAATCAATTTTTTTTGAGACGAATGCTGTTTAAATATTCAGATAAAAAAGAGAAAGGAACAAAAATGTTATTACAATAAAAAGAAAATTGGCAAGGAAAGCCAAATTGCATCCTCACTTTTCTTGCTTTAAATTATGATCGCAACGAATGGAAAAAAAGAAATGATCAATCCTTTGCTCTTTTTTTGTTCCTCTTTTTCTTTTTTTTGCTTCAAATTATTTTAATTTCATAATATTCTCTAAAACTAACCCATTTATTAGTGTTGCGTGAATATTATAACTTGTGCATTGGCAATCCGTTTACTACCAACTTCACCACTATAATGGCTGGAATACTTTAAGCTTTAACTTTTTAAAATTTTTTTTTATTCATAAATTATTTAATTGTACTAATTTGATATATAACATAGCATGAAAAAAATTAAAATTTTGTATGCTATTCTGCTCTTAAAATGTTATCATTTCATTCATTTAAATTTGAAAAAATTATATAATTCTATTTGCATTTTTGTCATATTAAATATTGTTTGCGCCAATATATGTTTCATTCGGTTATCTAGCGAATTTTAGCAAGATTCACCGAATTTCATTGTTTTATTTACTCATTCAGTAATGTTGACTTTTTTTATGCAAGTCATTTTTTAGTTTATTTCTATGAAATATTGTAATAAAGTTTGGTTTTCGATTAAGCTTTTCGAAAACTAAACTCAAACAAATTCTTCTCAAGTCCAAATTTGATTATGAGGATAATAAAAATTATTTTTCGAAACTATGAAAAATCTGTTGTCGATGTGTAAATTTCTAACAAGTAGATGAAAGTATGAGACAGCTAATAATATTTGATTTAAGGAATTTCCTTTCAGTGGCTTCTTTTATACGTGTAAATGAAACATCGGTGCTTTACTTTGATTTCAAGTTTGCTACATTTTTTTTGTCGTTTTGTTATCAATTTTACTGAATAAATAACTTCTCTGATTATATATTTACTTCAGCATTGCAGATTTTTTTTTATTAAAAATTAGTTGTAAGTTTGAAATTGCATCACCTAATGGGGTCAAAAGTTAAAAAATCCGTGAACTCTAAAATTTTCATATAGTATTATAGAAGAAAGCAATTATAAGGTTATTTGGCTCAAAAATTTCAAATTCCATTGCAATATTATTTTTCAAGCAAATTCATTTCGTCGGTGCTTACAAAGAAAAAAGTTCGGAAATCGACAAAAAAAGAAAAGATGCAATAAAAGGCAAAAAAATCCAGCAATAAATACTGTCTGTCATTTAAGATTTTCGTCAACAACTTTTTCTCTGCTCAAAAAATGTCATCAATTATAATTGGCATGCTATCGTCAATCCTCAAATGTTTCATCTAATTTATTGACAATTAATCTCTTGCGTAATAAATGCTAAAATAATCTGAATTTGCTTGCTTGGAAGAAAAAAAAACTCTTCTTTATAAAATGGAATTTGAGGGTATTATTATGCTTAAAAAAAGAAAAAAATTAAAATAATTTAGCAGAATTAATAAATACAACTTTATGTGATCTCTTAACAAACTCATTGATCCGCTTGTTTTCATTTGGAGGTGATCTGAAATACTAAATCATCTTCTAACATTAAAATTAATTAAAGGATGAGCGATGCATACAAAAAAAACAATGAAGGATAAAAACTCTGCAGCAAGCGATAACAGTTATGTATGCATTAACTGCAATTCTGTTGTCATATATTTAGAATCTCTTTTGCCATTATTGTCCATCCACCAAAATTGACAAACTTTTAGGATTCTAAAGTTACAAGAGATTTTATTTTAAGGTATTGTATTAAATGGTATTATGGTATTTTCGAGCGTATAGTAAGTGTAAATTTGTTTTTTAATGTTTAAGGTATTATGTGGAATGGTATATAAATTTTGAGCGCATAGTAATTGCGGCAAATTTCGAGTGTTTAAAAATTTATTTTTTTATGCAAATTTTGAGTATTCGTAAATTTATGAGGTAAATTTTGAATGTTTTTGAAATTGTTTGTTATGCAAATTTTGAGTGTTTATAAATTTATGGGTAAATTTTGAGCGTTTGTGAATTGTTTGAGTGATTTATATGTAATATTTAAGATCATTTAATTTATTGCTTTGAGTTAATTTTTAACTTTCAAAAACTTTCAGTTTTTTCTTTAATTTTGAATTAATTCAAATTTAAAAATTGAATTTTTGATTCCATCTTTCACCTCAATCAACTTCCTATAACCACGTATAATTTTGCCATCCCTAGCCCTGCACTGCTCAGGCTTCATCATTCTGAAGATTCTAAAAAACCAATGCAAGCAAACAAATCACTTCCAAAAACGTGAACAAAAATGAAATTTATTAGTTTTCTGCCAAACTTCTTCCATCTTCTGAAGATGCTTTTCGAAATCTTCTAGAATTCCATTTCTTCTGTCCTTCATATTGCAATTCTAATTACAATTAATTTTATAATCCGATCGCTGATATATACATAATTATGAATGAATTTGTTCAAGATATTATTGTAAAGAAATGCGAAAAAGAACTAGTTTATTTAACTCGAAAACACCTAAATACTTAATATAAAACGAATTACAAAGAGAAGCAGGAAAATTCCTCTACAAATAAATAAAGGCAGCACAATTGTCGGTGGAATGCCTGATTGAGATTGAGCATTGATGAAAGACACATACAGAAGTGATGAAAGTAACTGTAAACAGCAGTTTGATGCCACCAAACAGCTTAGTTGAATTACAGTCCCATATAAATTGATTGCTTATTTTTTGAAGCGTAAACAGCCATGTTAACTAGTGCTACTGTTGGCCTCAGAAACAGTGATAGGCTGCTTGTAACCGAATATTAAAAATTATCAGCAAATTGATCCATTCAACGTCAGGGCTCATCAGTGGAATAAATTAGTTGACAAGCAGAATAGATTTCGTTCAGAATTCTTCTACTCCTTTCAAAAAATAATTGTTTAAAAAGATGAAACAACAGGAAATAAACTATTAAAAATCGAATTTAAAAAAGTGTCTACTAAATGGCAATCGAACTTTACAGCTTAGATGATGCGGCGCTTACAAAATATGATCACAAAAAAAAGAAGAAAAAATCAGAGAACTGTTAACATTTAATAGCAACAATTGAAAATAATAAATCATATCCATAACTAATTAACTATTAATGCTTTTATTAAAAAAAACAATACCTGCCGCTGCATAAAAACGGCCTTTTCACCTGAAGCATTTATTGAAAACATCTCTGTGAAGCCTGCATGAATCTATGATCTCGAAAAAATTGATAAAGTGCGCAGCAGCTCTCACAGATGAATTTTCATTCAACGACGTCCAGAACCTGTCGATTCAGGTGGTGTGATTGGATTAGATTCAATGAAGTAAGACTGTAGCGTACTGTTATTACCAGTTGTTGCTGCTGCATTGAGCAGAGATGTCGCAGTTGGATAGGCTGCTGATGAATGTGCTTGGTAATCACCGGCCATTGGGAATGATTGGAGAGCAGCATCAAATGATAATTGACTGAAATATACGGTAATTGAGCGGAATGACAGTGATTCTTCTGTAGCAGAATTGATATATTACTGTCCATCTCCCCAATGACATACAGTAAATTGGAATATTGCAAATGCATACTTCATCATCATGTTATAATCAATATTAGACGATTGCATGAATGCATTAACGCCAGTTGGTGTGTTTATGTTCGTTCCTGGAGTGATCGGACTACCTGTTGGTGAAACAAAAATGGGTTGAGCAGCAATAGAACCATTAGGATGACGTATTGGTGAGACGAGTGTCATTGGTGCAATCAGTCGTGGTGTTTCTGCAACAATTCATTATTGCATTCATGCAAATTTGCGAAATAATCAAATAATTAATGAGCAGTAAATCGAATTAAACTGAAATCATTGCTTTTGAATAATTTCTAACGGACAATCACGAAATATCAGGAACGAGAAGCATGCAACTGCTAATAAAGTAAGCAACGAACGCAATGAGTATTTGTTGACGGGTCGATATGTTCCATTTATAATTGCAAGTTCCATTAGCTGTTTCCGCTTTAGCTCATCGGTTCCTTCCGGCTAAAATAATTATAATTAAAATGTCCATAATCATTTATTATGTCGGGTTTTGTTGCAAGAAATTTTTTAAATTATATAAGCTGTTTCGAAAAATTGAATGGAAAACCGATGGAATGAGTAATTTCTTGATTTGTTCCACAGCAGCCTTCAATTTTGTGTAAGCACGATTAGGTGTGTCTTCACATTGAACCAAAACATGGAGCTCGTCATCCAGATGTTCCCAATTCGGCTTACCGCGATTCATCTCTTCCTTAAACCCACAAATTTGGAAGTAAATATATCTTTCTTTTTGCAAGAAGCTTTCTCACAATAACAAAATGTAACGATTTAGCAGGGCATATTACTTAAAATTAGGGAGAGTGTTATTTTGAAGTGACCCTAATTGAATATTCATCAAATTCTATTAGTCATTACTACTGCAATTTCTACCTTAGCTATGCTTCATAACTTGTATCTGTCATGAAATATGACGTTACTCACATCAACTTTTTCCTTAATTCGAAGTAAACAGATCAAAAGCGATCAAAAATAGCGCAACATACTTTCCGACGATCACGCATTGATCCACGTCCTCTAACCATAATTTTACAGCCCGTTTCTTGTTCCAGCTGTTTAGCAGTCATGCCACGAGGACCAAGTATACGTCCAACAAAATTATACTGAAAAATAAATAACTGCCAATCTTCAGTCGAAGATTTTAATCGCTAGAAAAATGAGATTTTTTTATTTAATTCAAAAATAGTTTACATCAGGATGCTCCTTGCGAGGAACATATACTTTCTCCTGAATAGTAACTGGCTCGCCTTCCGGTTCGGGTAGATCAAGGTGCTCGATGGAAAAATGACACTGAAAAAGTGCCATGCGAACGCGATTAATCTCTGAAAAAGAAGAAAAAAATTCAAGTAATTGTTATGCTATTTGAAAAAGATTTATCAGCAGGTACCAACAGGAAGGATGAGAAGTAATAAATCACATAACTCTACCCAAATTAACTCTACGAACTTTCGTGAGTACGCATTATATTATAATCGTGCTTGAAAAACGAAAAAAAAAAACTTAAGTAATCTAATTAACTATTAACAGATTTGGAGAATTGGGATTTTTCATTCTGCCAAATAAATAACTCCTACTAAATTTTATAAGAAACGATTAAAAGTTCACCCTCATCAACCAAACGTTCCATGTGACGAAAAACTTGTGGAAAGACAGCAAGCTGTTTCTTCTCCTTTAAAAGATCAGCGAGATACTCCATCGTGCATTCTGTACCGGTGACTTCTCCTTGCGTCGAATTGCCAGTTCCAGGTCCCGTGTTTCCTCAAAGTTGTAATAGCATGTTTCAATTTACAATGTGTATGCAAAAAATCTTACAAAAATTTATTTCTACTGTTGCTTTATAAAATAACAAACCTTTATCATTCCGAAGTGGTAGTAACTGCTTTCTAGGCGTTTTTGGCTGACCAAATGGTGAGAATGTCTAAAACACACAAAAATATGGCATAACTCTTTTTTACTGAAAACTGATAATACACTTTTATCTGAACGAAATAATCGATATTTCACTCTCTCTTCATAGCGATACCTCAAAATCCTTGAACATTTTGAGAAGTGGTTGACCGATCGGTGTACAATGTTGTCCAACAGATGTTGCAGCCGATGTTTCCATGGGTTCAAACGATGTCCAAAAACCGCTTCGAGTTCAAAAATTGTAAAGTAGCGAGAAAAATGACAAGTGGTATGAGGCTATAAATGAACGAACGTTGTGATGTCAGATTCACAGATTCAGAATCTACGAATTAGAAGTGTGGAGTAACTCATTAATGTTCTCAGGATAAATAACTGTATAATAGGAATTATAATTCAGTGCAAGTATATCAGGAAATTCCTAGGAAATTTTTGAACCTAAAAGTTATGCCTAAATGTATCATTATATTTTGAGCCTAAAGTTCTATTCCATATAATAAGTGAAAGCTAAGAAGAAGGCAATATCGGCCAAAATGAAGGAGAAAGATATGAAATAGGATAAGCCGAATTCATAGAAACAATGAACCGAAATGAAGAAATGATTGTAAACTTTAAACTAACAGGGCTAGTTTGTTTGTTCCCACAGTAACACTTCTTGTCAGGCTATTCACTTGTTAGAGCCTCTGTGTTATTACTCTCGACACCAAATCCCGAGAGCGTCGACTACCTAAAACTACTAGATTAATGTTTCAGTTTTTGTTTTTCCACCACAGCTACCGTAACCTCCGATATCCTAAAAATTCATTCACTACTTAATTTGCCTTCTAAGGACAATCCTTTCCTAACCAAATCTCTTCATGTTCTGCTCATTTTCTTCCCTCACATAATTAACAAAATTTAACTCACCGAAATATTCCAACACATAACAATTCATTATTAATGTCCTATCATATTCTTTATCTACAATTTCATCTACATATTATGAAAAAAATACGTGAACAACCCACGCAAAACATACGCTTTCACATACTTAAAATTCCACTCTAGTCTACGCCAACCAATCACTAAGATAAAGAATACGGAAGTAAAGGATATTAACATTCTTCACACTTCTTCACTAACAATGCCCAACTCATTACCACCCTTTTCTCCTCCATTTCCGTTCTCTTTTCCATTCCCCTTGCATTCCTGTCTCTACCTGTAGATCATAAGAGTAGACCCTTGGACCTGTTCTAGTAATATGCAAATTTTACTCATTCTGTTTAGAGACTATTTGTATCTTCATTGAGTATGCATCTCTGTCGCAGATGACGTGCAAATATGATGTCGATCAGTAGGGATGAGAGTAAATCAAGCGGAACGGACGTACTATATTGATGGTAAGCACACTACCGTGTCATGTAGAGTTATTTGAAGCAGAGGACAACATGAGTTACAGTGGTGCAGGAAGTGCAAGTTATTTGGATGTAGCGTAATTGCTGATAGCAGATCGATCACTCGAAGAGATTGCAACCATCTGGTACCTCAATGTTTTCTTAGTGGCAATTCTTTCTGATATCTTCGGATATCTTTCATCAGTTATCAGGGGAGGAAAAGCATGCAAGTAAATTCATATATATATATATATATTTCATGTATAGTGTAAAATCCATTTTATTTCATGCTTATCAGTAAAAAATAGAAGAAGGGTCAATTTAAGGTGAGATGAGGTCAAAGAATACATATATATAATTCTTCATCTCAGCGATATGTGATGGAATATGATGTGTAGGGAGAAAATTTACTGGCGCAAATGTCCAGATGATTACTGTTTAAATTAGTTGGTTTATTATGAGAATAGGAAATATATTATAAATTGAAACAGTTTAAGTATATCGTGACAAATACAAATGTATAAATGTTTATTATCAGTTGTAGGATTTAGCTCCTTTCATCAAGTAAACCTTATAAGTGCTTTATCTCTTCAAATCGATGAAGCATTTTGTAAGATTCTTATCAGGACTTAAATAGTGATATCTTGGAGAAGGTCTTGACATGGATCAAGTCAACATATGTGTAGCCTTAATTTGAAATTTTAACAGAAAATGCTAGATATTTTAAAGTATTTCAAATAAAATACAAGGATGAAAACTGCCTATCTATTGCAGTAGTTGACAGTAAGGAATTATGATGACATTAAAGTAGAGTCAAGTAAGGAAATATTCAATCAAGTCGCTCAATAGTGCTTCAGATGAACAGTTCAATCCTTTCAAAGTTTTATGCTTCATTATAGCCGTATATTAACAGTGACATATCAAATAGCAGACAGACAAACTAACTGATGACAAGAATGATAACTGAAGAAATGCTCTCTGTTATGGGAATTGTGACTCGAGATGTTGATTGTTGCCAGTGGTCGGACTGGATTGCACACGCATGAAGAGTAAATTTTGTTGCTGCTGTTCAAGTTGATTTTTAGTTGACGCTTCGAGACCAAGCAATGAACCAGCTGGTGCTAATAATTTATCCATTTCACAACTGTAACTGCTATCCACTTCTACAAAATATTCACTAATTTTATATCAAAATTAAAACTAAACATTAAAATGAGTGGAATTTGAAGTTTCTTGAAAAGATGATTGCAAAAGAATATTTTGCCGTTAAGTTGCTTTAAATTTAAATCATACACTTGTAGTCCTATCAAACATTAATTGATTCATTCAAAATATCACCATTTGAAATTTCAGGTCGTAAAATGTTTCACTGACAAATTTGTTTTACTTTTAACAGAGCAAGTGGATATTTTGTATTGAATTCTTGTTTTAATAGAATAAAAATTTCAGATGTTTAAGAGTACATAAAAATATTTGCCATTTTTCCATTGTATCATTGCATTCTGTGTTTTCATTCAAGACTCAATTACAACAAAAAAACTGTATAATATTTGAAAAAATTGCATAAATTACCATATCCAACAACCAATTGACCATCCAATGGTGCATCCAAATATCCTCCCGCTCCTACAACAATAATAATAAAATGAGAAATATGAAATTTTACTTTTCATTTACAATAGTCACTAAAAATTAAACAAAAAATAAAGCTTATGTGAGAATCAAATTAATAAACTGCAAAAAAGTAATTGTAAAAGAATCCAAAAGAATTTCCATCATCTCAAATATCCCTCCGAGAGTTAAAAATTTCTCACCGTAAACAGGACTTTCACAAATGCTATCGTTAGGTGATGCACTACCACTATCTAAACTTTTCGGCATACCATATGTTCCCCATTGACTGCCAGCATCCTTTTTTAATCTTTTTTCTTTTGCTCGACGATTTTGAAACCAAACCTGAAAAATTATATGTCTACCTGTAAGGCAATTTGTTGCAAGCATACATTTTGATCAGAGAGCAAAGCTGATAAAAGAAAAAAAAGAAATTATGAAATTTCGTTCCAACTTTTTTGCTCATTTGTTAGCAATCAATAAAAAATTGCACAAGGATTCTAGAAAACTCTAAGAAATCCATGGATTTTATTGATTTATTTTTATTTGATATACTAATCCAATTCAGTAAAACGTTAAAAGGTACAATATTATATTTGGAAACGATCGTGATATATAGCTTTAAAGGTTGCAACTGAATAAGCATTTAAATCATTTCGTGTTGCAACTTCAAAATGCTAGCAAGCAATGGTTGAAGTTTAAATGACATTGCAAAAATTAACCTGAACAACTCTCATGTCGAGACCAGTGTCAGCAGCCAGTTGTTCTCGAACATGCCTTGCTGGTTTCGAACTTGCTTGATAAGCTTGTTTTAATGTTTCCAAACTTTTTGCCGATATTGTAGTTCTCGGCCGTTTTGTATTCGCATCAATATCTGCTTCTAAAATAGGTTTTCTAGATAAGAAATAAATCTCATCTGTATTACTGTTGAAAAATGACAGAATTAATCAAACAGTAACAAGGAAACTTTTTATCAAAATAAAGAAATCAAGGGATCATTTCTTTTCCTTATCGAAATTCATGACTAAATCTAAAAATTTTTTTATGGTTAAAATATTTAGGACAGTAACCTTTGGTTTTGGCCATTTCATAATCAGATTTGCAAACCAGACGTCCATCAGTGGGTATCAAATAAAACTCTTCACCAGTTCGAAGTTCACGTTTGCAGATGATACATTGAAAACAGGATACGTGGTAAACGTGTTCATTAGCTCGCCTTACCACCATATCGGGACAGATTCCCTCGTCACACATTGAACATTTTGTACCAAATCGTCTGCAACTGTAGTAAATTATTTTTACAGAAAAATAAAATAAAATATAATTTATGTCTAAATTTATGATAAAAATTTTTGTTAACATTAAGATAGCTTCATATTACTGTAATAACTGTCTAATAATTTAATCAAATTTCATTTCTAACAAAAATATCATGAAGACCGTATCGTTGTCATTTTGGCGTCTTCGCGACGTCATAGTTGCAGACCGATCGGATACAGCGCAATTTGACCTATCAAAAAAGAGGTGGAGGATATTAGTTAATTAATAATTCTTGCCATTAAATGCATTCACCAATCAAATTTACCTTACTCCTAAATCCTTTAACATCCTTTACCTTAGCTTATTTCAACTTTAGCATTAATTAAATTTGTGATGAAAGAATAGATTGATTTTAATTTACAAATAATATACTTGTAAAAATGATCCTTGCAATACGGTTGTCCACCTTTTAGATAACATTTGGATGAGAGAAGCTGTTCACAATGAGCACACCGTAAGCATTGTGGATGAAATGAGCGATCGAGCACTTTGAGGACGAATCGATCACGAATTGGCTCGTCACATTTACTACACAAATACACCGTCCCATTCCTATTACTGCTAATTGTTTCTGCTATTGCAGTTCCTTAATTTAACTTCATCAATTAAAAAAAATTCTTTAGACACTTTATTCACTTATAACTCACAAGCTTAAATTAGCATCATTACAATAAATGTTTACAATAACAAATATGTGATAATTTTCTTAAGGAAGAAAAAAAAAGGATCAATTTAAGGGTAGTATTAAAATCATACTTTTAGAAAGAGAAGGGATTTTAAAGATAATTTAAGGAAAGCGAAGAAGTTTAAATAATGTAAGAAAGAAAAAAAAGGATGAAATATTAAAAATGACACTTTTAATAAGTAAATTTCCAAAAGTTGTAAAGAAAAATAATAAAAATTGGAAATTTTCACTGAATAGAATGAAAATTTAAATAAATCGAATTACAGTTATTTTTGGTGCGGAATAGAATGGAAAAGAATTAAAGTGTAAAATTGATGGAAATTCACGATTGGATTAATTTTCCAATTTGATGATTAAGATAATAAAGGAATGAAAATCATGTAAAATAACCCTCCTATCCTGTTTGCATTTCTTTTATCGGAGATGAGTTAAAATGTGAAATTGCGCCAGAAATGCATTTGGTTGTCGAAGAATGACAAATGGAAATATCTGTTTGATGCACGAAATATATATCAATTATTTATAATATTTCAGTGCATATTATTTAGTTTTCTGCCTACTACTGTTAGTTACGCTCATTTGCTCAAAGTTAGATTTTAGCTTATGAGCGACGAAAACTTTGATTAAGAAATTTCAGAGAAAAATGAAGAATGAAATTTTGTGGGTTACAATAATTTGGATAGTTTCTTCAAAATTCTATATGATAATAATATTAATTTCATGTTTTTATGATAAAAGAAAGCTAACATTTGATTTCATATCAAAATTTCAAACAACGAAATATTTAAAAAAAATCATCTAATTTTTTTATTTTCAGATTGCTATCGCGTTTTTTAAACATTTTCCATATGGTCAACTTTTCCTGAAAACATTTAAGATCAGGACCAAAAGTTGTTTTTTTAAAACTTGAATTTGCAAAGTCAACAAAACTTATATCTGTTCTCGTACTTTCAAAAAGCATTTAGAGTTTCATCATTTCATCTATCTAATGGAAATTTTAGTCAGATAAATTTTCGAATTTAAAAAAGAAATCTTCTGTTAAATGTCCAGTTAAAATGTTTTCTCGTTAAATACGTCTGCAATGGCTCATTCAGCAAGCATTAAAATTAGCACTGAAAAGATGGACTATAAAAAGATTACGGTATAGCGTTATTGAGCATATAAGGCGAGGCTAATCCCTACCGACTGCTTTTAACATCCTCATAAACTTTGGCGGTACTGTCTCACTTAGACTATTTCTCTCTCAAATCACATGGGAATTTTGATGTTCCCTCTCTTCACTCACACAAATAGAAAAATGAAAAATTTTATGGATATGATTTCACATAAATGTTAAATTTTCCATTTTCAATTGCCATCTTTTCCATTCAATGAACCAAAAATTGTTTTTCTAATTAATTTATTTTCATAAGCTGTACAGTTTCATGTACCAATAACAATGCTTTTTGAAATGGCCATTTCAAAAGTTAGATGGTAATTTTACGTTGGATCGTAATTTTTAACTTCAGATTTTTTAAAGCAAATTCTTGCTTTTCTAAAAAGCTTTAATTTTTTTTTAAACAAAAGTTGACCTACTTCAATTTAAATGTGCAAATCAAATTAAATAATTTGCTTTTTTTTTTTACTAGTACCAACCTTTTGTTAATTTTTGTGCAGCAATTATGACTTTTTTGAAATGTTTATTTGTCAAATGTATTTTTTTCAATTCTTTTACTGTAAGCACAGAAATCATTTTGAACGAGAACAGAGAAAATTAAATGTAGAAATATTTTCTTACTTCTTTCTATCAAATTTTAATATTAATATTACAATTACTTTTCTACCACACCAAGCATTAGCAATAAAACTATTTGTCACATTTAAAATTCTTGAATATTATGAAATTTTTGGTGGCAAAAGATGAAAGCTTAAGAAATTTTCACGTTTTTGATACGTTAAAATATTTGAAATATCAAAAATTATAAGCAGCACGAAATATAAATATTGAGTGTGTACAGGTCTACTTACATTATAATATTATGTTAAATAACCCGAATGCTGCAATTAAGTTACGGAATTCTTAATTTTTTTCACCTCGACTACTAATACGGTAATTACAAAATTCATAAAAAATAAACTTAAAATTTTGACATAGTCTGCAGTAACATTGAAATAATTAAGTTAATATAACAAGAAATTTATCAAAGTTAAATGAAGTTTATTCAACATCAATGCGTTAAAGATACAACTAAATGGCTTTACAAAAATAAAATAACAAAAATTTGTTAAACAAAATATTTTAATTTAGAAATTAAAACTTGTACAAATTGTTAGATATCTGCTTTACAACTGAATTTTTCTTCACGTGTATTTTTCATTAATGTGGAAGAATGTGAAATGAATGAGTAAAAAAAGTTAGAAAAAAAGATGTGGAAGATGTCATTCAATTGTTTCCATAATTTATCGAATGGAAGAAAAAGGCCTAATAAAAGTAGAATAATATGCTTTCATACTATCACCGCTTAATAGTTGGCAGATGTGCTTTCCAAGCCATCCTTTTTTTTCTACAACTGGCAATTTTCCATTGATAACTCATTATCCTGTGTTTAATTCACACTTTGCACATTTCTGTATGCATCGTACAAAAAATATCTATTTCAAGAACAGAAAGAAAACGAATGAAAATTTTCCCATTTATAATTTTAATCTTTAAATTTAAATTCTATATAAATCTATTTTTAAAGGAAATATTTGCACGATTAGCTAAAATCATTCTTGAGTTTTCTTTATCAGAAAAATAAATCCATTTACAATCTTAAATTGCATTTCTAGTAAAGTCAATAATTCATTCGCTGTCTTTAGTAACTTGAAAAGATTAATTTCAGTAATTAGCATTGTAAAAATTTATAATCCAAAAATATTTTCAATTTCTTGTATGACTTTATTTTTTATGTAAAGATTTTACATGAAAAGGAATTTTACACAGAGGAAGAATTTCGTTTACGCGAGATTTTAATAAGATTGAAGAAGAACAGAGTGAGAAATAAATTTTAGGAAAAAAAACTCCGATAGCTATATAAAATCACAAAAAATGAAATGTTTTTCTCCTAATTTAGAAATTTTGTAAAATTCAATAAAATAACTATGAACGATTTTTATGTTATACAACAGTGAGTACATGTGAAGATAAAGAAAGGAGGATTTGATGTTGACTTAAATCATCTGATTTAGGGAGGTTTCATCTGATTAGTGTAGAGATTACAAAGACTGAGATTAGCTGGAAGCAGAAATCTCAATGATTGAAAAGAAAGCACACGGATAATCACCTTCCTTGACCATTATGGTTGCCGAGGAAACGAACATATCTTATTGAGGTCACCATTGAGAGTTGAAATTGTTCTGTCAGGAAAGTTTTGTAAAAAAAATACTACAAAAATATGATCAATATTTGAAAAGTATTGGCTTTTCAAGAGGAATTTTTAATAATGATACTGTGGAATATTCGTCATTCCTTAGTCTCTTGACCTCGATCTTTGATATCTTGTCAATTGTAGATATCATACTAATTCTTCTTCCGAAAATATATTGAATAAAATGTTAGAAAATATCAGTTTATTTTGAAAAATTTTTAAACTTCTGAAAAAGTGATAGAAAGTGAGCCTTAACTACTTGGCTATCAATAACAATATAAATGCATATTCTATTTACAATTTATAACTGACCCTGTCTCATGAGTTGTTCTTACACAGTTTTATTTATCAAGTTTAAATAATTACAGCTACAGTATTATCTGGTGCTAACGATAAGTAAAGAGAGGGAGAGATGTATAACTGTAATTAGCATCTGTAATTGTAAATGAATTTTAAAAGAAGAATGAGAAATAAAAATGATGAATGTACCTGGTTGTTGATGATTAGGTAATGAATAGGTATCCGTTATGGTAGCTGTAATCGCAGACATTCAAATGGAAAGCTCTATTTTAAATTCAGATTGAATCCCGAATTCGATATTTGCCCATGTATCATTCTTCAGCAAAACCTAAGAGTTGTATGCTTGCTGTCGGTAATGATAGATGGATGACGATAATGCCACCGTTGCAATGAGAACTAACATTCAAGAAGCAAGCGAGGGCGGAGCACTTTCTTGCAAGCCTAGCTTTTTCTTTGCCTACTTGGCCTCAATCTGTATATTGCTTGCCAAAGACTTATACAAGATAGCACTGCAATCGTCTCTTCACTTCATCAGCAATTTCATCCCAATCTAACAGCACTTGTTTTAAATGTAAAAAGCTTCATCCGGTAGCAAATTAGAAGTGATAATTGTCGGTAGCGGATCAATTTCGCTCACATCATCTTTATTTCCGGCTGAAATGAATGAATCCATTAAAATGGGAATATTAAATGAAGGTAGCACAGAATGAGCTGCAAAACTACAACTATAGCTGCAACTGCACCTGCAACTCATTCATTAGAAATACTGCAACTGCAGTTGCAGTATTTCTAATGAATGAGAAGATGCATTAGAGAGATGGAATGAATGTGCAGCTTATAGAGCTAAAAACTAGCAAATCCTCATGCAAGTACAAACCACCGTAATACGAGCAATCCCTCTTTTTTTCTTCCCT